ATAGCATCATTGACTACCCAGCCCTTGGATGTTATTAAGACCCGTCTCCAGACTCAGGACTGTTTGTGTCGGAAGGACCAGACCAAAATGCGGCCTCAGGTGATAATCCGATACTACCTACGCTTTGGAAAGCATTTTTGTATCAGATTTGTCCTCGGAAGGCAGCTGCCTTACAGGCTCGTGGAATCGTCTCAGCCACCGGGGAACTCCTCGTGGACCCTTCTGAGGTACTCATTGGTAACGGGCAACGTGGTCCATCATCCCATACAGATCCCAGAGGCCACCATGGCCAAGCTCAAGGCTAGAGGTATCGACCTCAATAACATCAAAGCGAGCATGGCCCCTCCGATGAGGGCAGCCCAGGTAGTACAACTATCCTTTTCTCATTGTAATTCATCGTTGCTGCATCTTAGACCGCCCCCCGGTACGGATCAGTGTCGTCTGCAGCTAAACTAATATGGAAAGAGGAGGGCTTCAGAGGATTCTTCAGAGTAATAATTATAATACTGTTTCTACCATACAAGCTAACATCAGGGCATGGTACCGAGATTCTGCCTCGCCATACCGGCTACTGCGACCTGTTGGGGAACCTACGAGACCGTCAAGGCTCTATTAGCCCGACTGTGATCGTCAACTTAGCCATTCGTTTCACTGCCGTGTACTATAAACTGGCGGCTCCAAATGAACCGCATACAATTGGAAAGGCATATCTAAGCCTCTGCTGTATTATACTCACCGTTCGAAGTTTGCTTTCACTGGACTAGCATTGAGATGATACAAAATGTTTCCTTTCCAAAATTGGAATTACTTGTGTTAAGAGCAACTCAAATGCTGTTATTTCGTCTTGAAAAAAAACCAGGGGCATGTCATAAAAATTCGTCGGCTACGACTACAACTTTCCCTTCTGAAAACCTTGTGCCTGTAGGGCCTCTGCAAGCGCGGCCACACCGGTTTTAGCAATTTCCCTACGGGAGTTGTAACCCATGAGACCAATCCTCCACACCTTCCCGGCCAGTTCTCCCAAAGCAAGTCCGATTTCGATGTTGAACTTCTCCCTCATATAGACGACGACAGCTTTGCCGTCAACGCCTTGAGGAATGCGGACCGTAGTCAGACTCGGCAAACGAATGTCATCATCAGTAACGAGCACTTCTAGGTCCAACTTCTTCAGCTCATCTACGAGGTAGTCGGCGTTTGACTGATGACGGGCCCACGCGTTCTCGAGACCTTCTTCAGCTACTAGTTGGAGAGCGGCCCGCATAGCGTAGATCATCGAGATGGGTGCAGTATGGTGATAGACGCGCGGGGCACCACCAGAACTTTGAATGTACTTCCTTATCATGGTCATATCCAAATACCAATTGGGCACCTGCGAAAAGAATGACCAATACAATCAGACATGTGGACTTTCTCCTACCGGAGTGGTTCTGGCAGCGAGTTTGGCCAGAGCTCGGTCACCGAAAGTGAGAGGGGCCACGCCAGGGGGGCATCCCATGCACTTCTGGGTACCAGCATACGCGGCATCAACCTTCCATTCGTCGAGATAGACAGGAACCCCACATATTGACGTCACAGTATCGAGCAGCAGAAGACAGTCGTGTTCTCTACACAGGTCGCCGATGCCGTCCATGGGCTGCTTGGTCCCAGTGGAGGTCTCAGCATGACAGATCCACATGAGCTTGGGCTTATGCTCCTCGAGACCAGCACGGATCTCATCCAAGGTAAACACTGTGCCGTAAGGCTTCCTAATGTGCTCGACCTTAGCACCGTACCGACTGTGCATATCAAGAGCACGCTCTCCGAAATAGCCGTTGACGCATATAAGGTGGGTGTCACCAACCTCAGTCAAGTTAGCGATGGCGGCTTCCCAGGCGGCACTCCCGGTACCTTAGGAAAACCATATAGAAATCACTGAATCACTGACTCACCAGACACGGGGATAGTGAAGGTGTTTTTGGTCTGCCACACATAGCGAAGGAGTTTCTTGAGGTCTTCGACGATGGCCAGAAAATCGACGTCCATATGGCCGACCTGAACACGACAGTTGCACGAGGTGGTATAAAGTGAAGGACCCACCTGGGGGAGGGACATAGCGGCGTGGACCTCGGGGTGGGCGTTCTGGGGCCCAGGGCCAAGGAGAAGTCTCGTGGGGCCTTTGAAGGGCTTCACCTCGCCAGAAGAGAAGGGGTTGTCTACCAGCATGTGGGGACAAAAACTACCCTGAGAAATAGTCTACTGATGATTCCCACACGCAAGGAAACCGTCCTGTGTGAGCTCCGAGATGAGTTCAAGTCCAGTCCATCACTAAATCACATATACGAGCTCCTATCAATGGAAATACTGGCAAGCGAAGTTCATAACCGTAATTCGAGTCATTGCTATCCCACGAGTAGAAGAGCTTCGCTGCAGTATGTTCTCAATCGCTCGGATGGACGAGACATACGAGGCTTCAGAGCTACCCTCTCAAGAACGCGTAACCATGAAGTTGCGTTCAGGGGCGTGCGCACTTTGGTCTGCGCAAGATGCTATTTTGGGTATTCGTTTCGAAACGTCGGATGGTTTGGGTCTTCAACACTTCATTCAAGGGCTTTCGCTTGGTTCCATTATACCTGATAGGCAGATACAGTGTGTGTTGGTACTACGGACAGCGATGGATAAAGAGCTTTCCGAAAATGACTTGTCTCATACCGATGCCCTATTGGTGACTAGACAAACTTCCTTGTTACACTATGCAGACTTCGTGAGCCACCGCTGCCGTCATGCCGCGCAGCTTAGTCTTCTATCGTATTGCTCCTGGTCTTCTTAGTGTTAGATTCCCAGTATGACCACTACAACGTCAGACTCCGAGCCCGTCGCCCCTGGTCCATTCCACGCTAAGGACCTCGAGCACAGCACGTCAGCATTTCGGTGTATATCCGAAGCCCATCATGGGTAGGTTACTACCGAGTTCCTAACCGGTGGCAGGCGAAGAGTGTTCGTAGATTTATGTCTACTTTCAGGCAATCCGGCTCAAGTCTGGAGTGGAACAATCTTACGTTCAAGATCGGTGACAAGACTATCCTTAAAGACTGCACTGGTCTGCTCAAGCCAGGGGAGCTCACAGCAGTGTTAGGCCCCTCGGGGTCGGGCAAATCTACGTTGATGAACGTCCTTGGTGGTCGCCAACGGGCCAAAGGCAACGGGAAGTCTTTCGAAGGAGCGGTGTCATTTTCCGGTCAAGTCGACGAGCCCGTAAGGTTCCGTAGCCGCATTGCCTATGTGATGCAAGACGATTCGCTCATCGCGACGAGCACTCCTCGGGAGATCCTTGAGTTCTCCGCCCGGCTGCGCTTGGGTGCAAAGCAGAACATGAGCAAGGATGAGGTAAAGCTTGTTAGTGTTCTCTCCCCCGTCCATCTCGCTACATTTTCAGGTTAAATGCCTTGTTCAAGATCTTATTGAGTCATTGCGTCTCACATCGTGCTCGGAGACTCTTGTTGGCAACGAGCTTATCAAGGGCATTTCTGGTGGCGAGAGAAAGCGCACCTCGGTTGGTGTGGAGCTGATCACTAAGCCTGACATGATCTTCCTCGATGAGCCTCTCTCGGGTTTGGACTCGTACGCTGCCTTCACTACTGTTACGGTCCTCAAGGAGCTGGCCGAGTCCGGCGTTCCAGTAATGATTACTGTTCACCAGCCGTCTAGTGAGATCTACCAGCTCTTCGATAACGTCATGATATTATCCGCTGGGGAGATGGTCTACTATGGAAAAACCAGTAAAGTCACAGAATTCTTCGACGTGCATGGTGGCCTACGGTGTCCGTCCAACTTCAACCCTGCGGACTTCGTGCTCTTCGTACTGCAGACAGAACCGCAAGAAATTATCCAAAAGTTGGTATCAGCGTACAAAAAGAATGCTGAGGAGAATATCGTACCTGCTATCAATAGCATCCGACAGACGCACAAGCAGCTCGCTATTGATACGACTGGTCCTGGTCGGGCCAGTATGATGGTCCAGTTCCGAGAGCTTCTCTTTAGGGAGATACAGGGTACAATGAGAAACCCTGTGGTCCTTATTATGCGGTATATGATACTTCTGGTTCTCGGTCTGACGTTTGCCCTCATCTTTTTCGACGTTGGTGAGACCAGAGATCAAGACTATTGGCTCGGTAACGCTGCTGTGTTCCAGAGCTATTTCGGTGCCATTGTCGCCCTCAACATTATGGCCATGATGGGATCTGCTCAGACCGCCGTCCTAGCCTACCCGGCTCAGCGTGGTATCTTCTTACGTGAGTATGCGTCGAACATGTACTCAGCCGTGCCCTATGTTGCATCGAAGACTTTGGTTGAGCTCCCGCTGTCGTTCGCCGACTCACTCTTCTTGATGATAATAACCTATTGGTTGATGAACCTCCAAGGCAACTTTATTCTGTGGGTGCTTACTTTATGGCTGGTGAATCTGTGCGCTTCGTCTCTGGCCCAAGTCCTCGGCGCCTCCTGTAATTCAGCAGCTCAGGCTATTCAAGTCCTACCCCTACTAACAGTGCCGCAGATCCTTTTCGGTGGTATCTTCACTCCGATCGAGAACATACCAGTGTGGCTTCGGTGGTTGCAGTACGTATGCTTTTTGAAATACGGTGTAAATATCGCATATTTGATTGAATTCGGTGACGATTTTGACGTTATCAATGATCAACAAAATATTGATCCGGACCTCATTGGTCTGTATTTGGGTGTCACATTTGGTCTTCTTGTTGTAATGAGAGTAACATCTATTATTATTCTGAAGAAGAAAGCGAAGTTCGTTTTCTGAAGTTGGTAACTTTGCTATATACCCTCAGTATTGAAAGTTAATTATGACATCTAGACCTATACCGGAGCAGTCGCCTCCGTCGTGAGGAGTCTGGACTCCGATTATTACGCCGTGTATGGTGCACGTTGGTGAGTTGAAGAACTCTTGCGTTTGTTAGTGTCATGCGAGGCATCACTCTAGGCAGTGTATGTGATGGTAAATCCACTGCATTCTCTATGTTGTGCGTATTCCCTCGCACACGTGGTGATTGCGATACCTCTGAGACCGGGACTACCCAGGATCAACATCACACTTATTGCACCGTTAACCGGGATCGACAGCTATTATTACGGCGTGGCAGCTGTTGACATGATAGAGCGATGGGTGCTGAAGGTATCTCCTGCGGAGAGGATATACTGTTTCATCATAATGATGATCGAGTCCACTGCTAGGTTGATACGGACTCCACCTTCCCTTTCCGGATAGTACCTGAATACATCGATACACAGAGTTCTAGCGATGTAGAAAGCGCGCGAAGAGCTTCCAGGGCAATCGCAACTGCAGCGGACAACTCCGTATTCGTTATCGGGGCAGGAGGTGTAGATGTACCGGATGGACGGGTGAGTGAAACTGAGCGTGATGTCTCTTTGGGCATGATCTCTGCCGTCGGGGACTGTCGTGCGATTTCGATTCGCCTTGACTACTCGCGAATAACACAGGTTGTCCTGTACGGTGTTCAGAACGTTATCCTGGATCCCGGGTTTATCGTTGAGCCTTGCAAGGATCGCGAGAAAGGGATATTGTGCGCCCCGAGACCTTCCTTCAGCGAAGGTGAGCTCTAACTTATGTGTGGAGGAATCTCCCATCACAGTGGTAGGAGAATACCGTCGAACAGCTATCGAGGCCATGCCGGCCAACACGGCGAGAGCTTTCGTTATCGCGGGGCGCACACTTGAGAACGATACCACGACCGCAACATGTGGCCAGGACATACTAGAAAAAATCATGGCTCGGAAGTCCCGAACCCAACCTGTATGTTGACAGTCTTTGGGAAACCCTCCCAATAGAAGGAAATTCTCAGGTGTATCTGGACATGCGTGGTCTCCACTTGCGCTTAAGTGATGATATTTTCGAACGAGAGCCCACAACAGTGTTTTACTGCGGCCACATAGCTGGTCTCTATTCTCTCGTACACCAAGTCGAGCAGAAGTCAATCGAGTGGATTTACTGGATACTCGTGGAGCCTTCAGGCAGAGGATGCGACTCCGCGCCTTTTCTACCCGTACCTCAGCATGCCGGTTACCTCAGTCACTAATTCGTTATTCGTAGCAGTTTCCGTCGAGCGCTGCTGTATCGTGTATCGCTCCGCCTACATACAGCCCATTGGGCTCCCTACAACAACAGCTCGATCTTCTTGAAAAGGTGCGTACAAATAATCTTCATTGGAGACTTGAAGTGACTACCACGCTTCAATGAGCCGGCTCACTGTTCTTAGACTCTTATAACGAAGAGAGCGCTTGATATCGTTGACTCCCTCCAGTACAGAGCAGCGAGCCAGAGGTAGCCGCCATGGCGTACCACACGTTCTCCACATCGCCATGGTTGAGTCAGATTCCACGTCCGGGATATGAAAGCCATAGGACCAGCAGCTCTTACAAGGCAAGAGTGATACACTTTGGGGAAAAGCTAGGGTTTATTGAAAACAAGAAGTGGATCGCAAACGACTCCGTTCTATTTCAGTGTCCACCACAGTGCGGTCGTTCAAGTACTCGAAACCGAGAGGTTCCTCCGCAGCATGAGTGCCTCGCTCATTCAAGCTATAAGTAGAGACGAAGAGACAGCCTATGTCGGTCACTGACGGAAGAGGACTGAATCCTATCACCAATTAGCTTTCAGTGTAGCCGATCAAGACTCAGTGAACACCTGGAAGAAACCACAGATTCATATATGTCATCACAAGCTATCCTCGAAGACTCATGTAGCCCTTCGTTCTATTTGCTATATTCCCTGTTCAAGGTCAGGCACAACAGAGCAGGATAGTTCAGCGTTGCTGCTGGAGGGCTGGCCTAGTCGAGTCGACCCCCTCAGTGTTGGCATTGACCTCAGCCGCACTGTGGGCTCCGAAACCAGCGATATTATCCGAGGTGACAGTGGCCTTGCGTAGAGCAGCAAGCTATTTCTCCCCCCGACAGGGATGTGCCTCGTGAGCTCCATAGCATCGCTGATGCAGCGTCGACCGACCTTCGGCCAGACGACGTTGGCTACTGAGTCCTCACAAAGCGAGGTTTCTTACGTGGATTCCATCTCGGGAATGGAAGCCATTTGGCCTAGGGTACCGAGGCTCTCCATTTCTATTCGAGATGATGACTCTGCTGTGACTACGACTATGGAATTTGCTGAAGCTGGCGAATCTACTCCTTCTCTCTAGATATGAACATCATTGTTGTTGTACATCAGACTGCCGGTGGATGCCAGTCGACTACAGCCAGAGATCCAAGGCATTCCCCAGGCTACTTAGGTGGTCTTTTAGCGGCCACGCATCGAGTGAGTGCCTGCCTATATAACCCTGCACAACTTGCGTCAGGAGAAACATCCTCGGTTGGCGGTCATCATTGTGGATCTGTCAAGCTTGGTGTCGATACAGGGAGGGACACGTCGCAACGACATCATCGCCGAAGCCGGAGTGAAGCGCATTCTTCACTTTGATCAGCGAGACTCAACTCCAGGTCTTGATACACTCCCTACCCGCGTACTACGTCATCACTGTGATAATAGCGCAGGACACGGCTGAGCTGATAGAGTCTGGAAGTTCCCGATATATGACCAAAAGCGATCGCAACTCGATAATCTCCAGACTGAAGTCATCAGTACGGTACTATTAGTGGCTCTCCAACGGCGAGGCTTGTCGTCTCTGCAAGGTCCCCAGTGGTGGATATAATCTGACAGCTGCTCTGATGCTCGCAGCGGAAGTGTCCACCTCCTTCGAGACCGACTGTCCCTCGATGATATTCTCGATATCAAGCTCATATCCGACAGCACCCAGAACGTATCAAGAGGTGATGACCTCCTGCGGCTTGGCGAGATGATGCTATTCGGGGTCCCCTTTCTCTCGCGATCTCAGGAGGTCGACTTGATGTCGTGGTTACAGCGATCATTATCTCCAACTACCCGCATCTTCACTGTCGTTATGCATGGCGAATTCCACTTGGAAAGCTCAGTAGCAGTAGTTATGACACATCATCGTTGGTTTCTCGTCATATGCAGCAGGATACACTCGAGTACCGTAACTCGACCAGAGGCTACAATCAATACGAGCGTCATGTGACGCGCTTGCTGAAGCCCTTCGCATGCACCTTCCACGGTGTTCATCAGGTCGACACTTGTTCGACCTTCTTTTACTGAGAACCGTATACTGCTAGGTGATTATGGATCCAAAGGAGGTTTCGGGGTCCCTATTGAGAGCATATGCTTCCCTCTATGCATTTGCGATGCCTAGTCCTTCCGACCAGATGTAGTCCTCTCGCGCGCTGATCTCATACTCGATATGACACTTCGAGTTGCAATGCAACCCGGAAGGATATCACACTGAAGCCGTGAATACAGGTATCCTGTAATTTGGGAGCCCCCAACGCCGTCCCCCTATACTGGTCGTCTACGCCACCGTGCATGCAATGCTGTTGCGGACGGTCTAGGCTACCCCACTCCCCTCCTTGGAATTCTCTGTGTTGATGCCTCAGCCGCTTTATCGAAGTCTTTCGGGCTTGACCTTCTCAACATGTACGAGCGACTTGCTCACCGAACTGATCGACTTCCTTCGTTTTTTCGAATCTTGACCTCGTCATAACTTACGCTTGCAGGCCGGACTATCCCATCGCAGATGCTCTGCTCAATCCACCGGCCGTGGTGGAATCGCAATGTCGATCACCAGCAGTTACTGCTGTCGAATTACAGAGTATTCGACTCAAGCTAGCTGGAGAAGTAGCCTTTTTTCGAAGTCAAAAATGCAGACGACTCTTCAGGCGTGTGTCGATGATGAGCTCAATGGGAATATTCAGTCACATCAGCGCGGATCTCTCGCTGATGCAGCAACAAATCAACGGCTGGCTCAGACGGAAGTCGAAGGACAATCCAAGCCGATGGATAACCATTCTCGAAGTCTGTGTTTTCTCGTCGCATTCCTGTCATGGGTTGTCCATTAATCTCTTGACACTGTGTTTGTGTCGGACTTGCTGGAGCGTCTGACAATAAACAGTTCACAGCGAAGCTGGTTGCTGGCATCGTGTTCGTAGTGAGATCTGTGGCATTCCATGTCGGAGACCAACTTCGCTATCGTGTGTGTGACTTCACGGGCATACTCTTGTCGCCAGATTTTATCCTTGATGTATATATCTCAAGCAGGTGACAAGTAGATATGAACTGGCACGAAATATCGCTCGTATCCGAGCTCCTCCTCGACGGCTCACTAAGTCATCATCAGAGCACCCTCTAGGGAGCGACGCGTTCACGAGAGAGTCGACAATTCTTGTCAGGCCACCTATACACAGCTTTCACTACGCCGCTCGGCAGGTCGATTCGGTGCGGAATGGACAGTGTGTTCACAACGCACAAGGATGTTCCTCATGCGATGAGATGAGTGATAGTATTATTCCTATCCCAAACTCCAACTTGAACTCGATCCTCCGTTAAGAGTACAGATGAGCACCTCATAATTTGATAAAGAATTATTGGGACATCTGGAATACACATCATACGTTAGGCAAAATGGGTAGAAGGATGCAGAACTGGACCCCGCAGATGAGAAAGAGCAAAGTTCATCTTTGTGACTTGTAATCGGGTAAAACAGGAACGGCAATAAGCCCGTGTTGACGAACTAGTTTCTCATACACCACGCACATCCTCTGTGCTAAGCGCCTCAGTGGTACATTGGTGGACTTTTCAGAGGACGCTTCTTTATGGGCCTCAGAGTTGATCGCAAGCCTATGGAAGATGGCCACAGCTGCGGCACGGCAATCCTCCTCTGTTCTCAGTGATTCGTATTCCATCGTCGCATTATACAGAGGATCAAGTATGACCCTCCCTGGGGTTGTTGGGATCTCGAAGTTCATGCCCAATTGCTGGATTGAACTGACTCTCTGGACGAACTGTGGACGAGCAGCCTCCCTGAGAAACACAGCAAAAATAGTGTCTACCATCATGGTTACTGCTAGGCTTACATCAAGAACTCTGAATGAGGACAGTGCAAGGAGCGCGTCCTTAGGACGAATCGAAACGATTCAAACAACCATTTGAAGTTGGGCCCAACGGCCAGACATATTTCCTCAGATTTAGCCCTCGTAATGGTATATATCCCCTAACAAGGAATGCTCAAAGTGCGGTGTACAAATGGGCTGTATCTCACCCCCCTGGAGCCTTCATGACCACCGCAAGCTAAGTCGATCAATGATGACAACCACAGGCATAACGGAAGACTCACAGCCGATTTCATCACACCAGTTGCGGATGGAATTGAGGAAACTGAAGTCTTGTTCACACCAATCGCCCCATCGAAGAGAAGTCCACAAGTGGACGAAGAAGTGATGTGGGAGCGGAGTTTCCCCTTCCACTTTCTGACAACGCTAAGCCACAATTATGGGACAACATGAACAAAAGAACAACAACATGAGGACACGAGGAAAGCGATGGGATCAGCAAACAGGTTCACACGTCAGTTTCGAATACAACGCGCTTCCTCCGTCGCGTGGGTAAAGCTCCTCTACGTGACGTCGGTGGAGCGCGCCAAGCTTCACGGGGCCTTGGCTTTCCGAATATCTTCCTGCGATACGCGAAGCAAAGACGAGAAGAGAAGTCAGGGATGCTGTCTGGGGTCAACACTTTTCCATTCAAATCCTCAACCCAGCGGAGGACTTTCTCGGCAGCTTTCCAACAGTCACCATCTGAGTCTAGTCTTGTTGATTTAATGTTAGGCAACGACAGCGGGTCTCCGACTTTCGCCGGAGTGAGCAGCAAGTGATCTCTTGTAATCGCTTCCTTCACTGTATGATTGCCGTGACTGAAGAAGACATACATAAATGACCTCAACTATGATTCGTAAGAGTAGGTGAGGATCCCGCGAGTGGACGAAGTGCCGCCTCACAATTCACATAGAAAGCTTTCATATATTCCCTTGGGGCAGATGATAGCTCTGGTGGAGAGGAAACCATCGGCAGCTTGGTAGACCCAGCGGAAGCCGTCTCCGCCGACTATACGGCAGGTTCCATCCTCCAGCTTTCGAGCCCCAAACGTATGCTGAAGTAATAACAGGATGTGCCAACACTCGGAGAATGAAAATGCCATCGCGGACGGTCCAGAGTGAACAAGGAACCTTAAATGCCCGATGACTTTACCTGGGAATGAGTGTTGGCATCTGGTAGGGCGGCGAGGCGTCTCAGATAGGCGCCTGTCAGAGTAGAATTCGCTCTCGATCTGCTGGTCATTAGCTCACCAACAACATTATAGTCATCATCATCATCATCAACCTCATGCCCTCCCTCACTCCAAGCGGAGGTCAATGCTACCACGGTACAGTGAGTACACAACAAAACAGAGAGGAGTGTTTTGACGACCATCATGAATGGAGTGTAACTACAAATGAGAATGGCCTTGTAACGTCCGTGAACATCGCCGCTATCACTCAGGTGTGAGTTTTAGGAAGAGCGATGGAAATCGGTGGATTTTGAGCATATAAATGGCGAGCGCTATATTTTAATGGCGCGTGACTCTCCTTCAGTTCGCCACCGGGACCAAGTAGTGGTCTTCTCATGGTAGAGGAAGTCGCGGGGGTGGACGAATACTCTGACCAGAAACCACCACACCAACGGTAGAAGTGCGCTAGTCTCGACTGCAACTTCCAACGCGAGAGAGGAAATCTCGAGATAGACGGTTTTGCGGATCATTCTGATGGCGCTGATGTGGCCATTGAAATAAAGCCCATATTGCACGTTTAACAGTATTGAATACTCAAGGCGCCTTCAGTTTCTATGCAAATACTTGAGTATTTACGAAGAGCAATTCACAACATGCGTACTTAAGGAAAAACTCAATTCCTCAAACTTAGTTTAGGTAGAGTAAATGGTATTTGTTAGTTGGTAGTTGCTCCTGAACTTCAGGCGCCTTAAGTATGCTTGTGGAACAGGCTCATTGAACACAACCACATTAAGTGAATAAGAAGAAGCTCAGAATTGCAAAGGCTTGTTGTCCTCGGAGCCAACTATTCTCAGCCTGCGATAAATGAGAAAGTACACGAGACCCAAGACGATCCAGACCGCGAATACCTGAAGATTCATCAGTGCATGACGTGACGAGGTTGACTACGGGTGGTCGTCAATGGCTAGAGCTCATGAACAGGTGAACCATACGCCAGTTCATTGAGACGCACTGCTAACGTTGAGGGGCACCAACAAACGACTTCGGTACAATCATGGTACTACAACACCGAACTCAGCGACCCACATATGATCATTGCACTCAAACCTGTATTAATTCATATTCCGAGACGAGATATGACACTTGTATGATCCTTGAGGGAGCCGCCGACTTACAGCTCTAGCTCGCATGCATTGCTGAGAGGTTGGGCGATCAAAGGTGATGACTCGAGGCTTCGGCCGGCTACTAGGGCTGGAACACTGCTCACAACTACAGTCGTATGGATGTGTGTACACGGTCGAATCCATGGTTATACGATCGAAAATCTTATGCTACATTTACAAGTAGAGGAGTAGTAGCATTCGAGGCAACACGACACCGCAATATTGTCGGTATGCTCATTGGCCATTACGGACTCGTTAGTCGTGTTGGGGGAGTTGTCGAGATCATCGTTCAACACAACCATAGGAGAGAAATCAAACCTTAATCTTGCTTAATTGATCATGCTGCTACGAGTTAGTATAGAGCAAAACGGTCGGGCGGGCGACGACCAAAGATATGAGGATACTGGCCGCCCCCAAATGAATACAGCAACTTGTTGCTGATGATATACAGCTCGAATAATCGACCGTTAAAATTAATAGCAGCAAGATAACATATACGAGAATCACATGTCCTGAAACACACATGGAACACCGAGAACACTACAACTGAATGGAGCATCACCCTTATAGGCTTCATGGAGCACTGCCGTAACTTCTGTCCACACGTCACATTGATCGCACTGTAGCCATAGACCAGTAGAATCCTTGATGGGGACGACCGACCTTGCAACCAAGAGCTGCCCTTCCTTGTCGCCACCCTCGATCATGAAGTGTCGCATTGCAGGAAACTGCTCTGACTTGACAGTCGGTATGTCTCCCGAAACTGGGAAGACGGCAGAGGTAGTCGTCGGCTGGCTCTTATCTCGTCCACAATAGACGTCTAACTGCTCGTCACTGAGAACTGCCAACTTGACATTAGAAATATGCACTTGTCCTCGGGGTTGGTCACTCAAAGAAGATATCTCTACCAATTGTGCCGAGCCAGTCACTTCTTCACCTCCCATACACTTGAAAGGACCAGTCCATCGGGGCTTGAGCTTATTAATACTGTTGGCCGCAACCCAGAGTAAGTCACCCTTCTTGTAGGGAGCTAAGTTTGGAGCTCGGCGACGTCTACTCTTCTCAGCCATCTTGATGGCTGTCTTCCGCAAGCGACTCAATGTATGCTCATGAAAGGCTTTGAGCATATCCTGGAAACTCCTACGCTTAGCCTCGACGTAGCTTTTGTACTTGGCATCATCGTAATCCAACGCATTTCCATGCCTATTGATGAAGGCGTCGAGATTGGGAGGATTGGGCGGTCTTGGAGAGATCGATGGTGGTGGCTTGGGTGCTGCCGCGAAAATCAAGTCGTTGGGGGTGATGTCGCCCGCTACTGGTGTAGAGTTCAGTGTTGAGGCCACCTGGGGAACAAGAGCATACCACGGGGAAAGAGTGACGCCTCGAGCCTGCTCATCCTCACGGATGGCTCTGATGAGAGCCCAGAACTCCAGATGTTGGCGCTCAAGATAGCTGCGGCGGAATGCTGCATATGGAGCTTGAGCTACCACTGATATGCCTAGAGATGCCGCCCATCCAACATACATCTTGCCTGTGAAACTCCTATCTTGATCGACCACAATATATTGTGGATAACCGTGCTTGTGGAAATGGTACTCGGTGAGTAGTCTGGCAGAGTTGGCTGACTTGTCCCGTGCTAGATAGAAGGCACTGTAGCGAGATACCAGGTCGTATATATGCAGAGCATATTTGGGAACCTCGCTCTCACTCTTGGGCGTCTGTAGCAGATCTTGTCCACCGACATAGGGCACCGTTGCTACCGGACCATAGGGCTCACTTGCCGGACCTATCCAATCCAATGCTAACACGCAGTTGACATCAAAATCCTTGGGGATGACTTTTGGACGTGTATCTGGCCACACCTTGGCACCCCTGCTGCGCTGGCAACCAGGGCAGCTGCGCGAGTATGCGCGAATGGCCTTTCCTATACCTTTGTAGTAGTAGTGCTTCTCGGCATAAGCTACCAAGTACTTGGGTGGTTGATGACAGAAGTAGCTGTGGAGGTGGCTAATGACCGCATCTCTCACTGTCTCCGGAACGAAGATAGGTGACCCCGAAGGGTCGTTCTCGTTGACTGCTCGACCGACTCCCAACCGTAAGACCTTCTGTCCTCCCTCAACTACCACCACAAATGTTGCTCGAATTTTAGCTCTCTCATCATGTGAGTAGCTTTGGAGACGTCGTTGTAGTTGCTCTGGTAGAGTAGTAGTAGACTTTTTGTTGGAATCGAGTAAGCTTAGGCATATCTGAGTGTGGGGGTCCTCGGCCTGAGCAGCGACGATCAAAGGATAGAGACCAGCTGTGACCTTGGATATCTCGTCATGCCCAACTGATTGGGGTAGAGTGTCAGTGGACCCGCTGTTTTCATCGGACGCAAACCCCACCCAATCGATACCACTCGCTTGCTCGACAACGGACGTGCCGTGAGATGCCAGAAGCTCTCGAAGGAACCGTTCGGCTTGGGGATAAGATTCACCGAAGGGATCAA